TTCTATTTAAGACATTTTTTATTAACTATCTTATACACGTAAAGTAACTGATGAACAAGTTAGTTTCGATGGATGGTAAACTTTGTTCAATGCATTTCAGGTGATAAAAGTAGACTCAATTTTTATGCGCTAATAGTGTTGCTTGAATGTCGCCTGTATATGTGTATAACACTTTTCTTGATCTACCAAGCAGATATATGTATTCTTATATGTTAGTTAGTAAATAAGCTTGACAGGATTGTAGGTTATGTTCACATGCGACCGCTGGGTATGAAGAATTTTTAAAGTTTGAAATATTCATAAGGACAGACAAATTATTCCACAATACTGATCAATAAATGTGATTAGCTAAGTTTTAAACTGAATTTAGTTTTTCTCACATTATGATTCGGAGAGTAAATCAATCTAGGGAAACCTGAACACAAAATATATTGCCTCAGTACAACTTATATAGAAAAAGTCACGAACCAAATAAGTAGTTTCTATTTTTTTTTCTATAAATGACACACAGGACATAATTTATAAGATTTAGCTACATTTTGCTTAAACAAAATCGTATACAATAATATTTATACAAACAGAGGGATAGAAAGGTAGAGAGATAGACAGGAGTAAAACGTTTTTTCGATCATATACCTAATTGATTAGTTATTCATTGTAGAAAGTAATAGAGATAACTGGGAGATTTGTCATAGACATTATTGATTACTGAAAGTACAAATTTACGATGTTGTTAAAGGCTTGAAATAGATAAAATAAATTAGTTAACATAGCTAAATAACCTCCAACAATTTCTCATTCAAAAGAGAACAGCTTACCCACGTTCTGCATGCAACGAATGCAGTTAGCTTATTATCACAAATTTTATACATAAAGTAATTAGTAGCAAAAAGTAAAATTTCAATCCCATTTTATTTACAACTGACGAAGAACATGAATCTATTTCGCAAAGGGTCCACATCATTTGAAAGTGGTTAGCCATTTTCATTGATATTTAAAAACTAGGAATAGCAACATATTTCAAGTTGAAATTAACAATCACACTATGATAGGGTAACAAACCTCCAATTCTAATACTCATGTCCCAACTTAAAAATCACTCATGATTTTTTGGTAAGCAGAAAACTTCCTATATGACGGGAACCAAATAGACAACATTCATCTAGTCTTCATATGTGATGAGGTCTAGTTTTATGCAAACAGTCCCAGAGCCTATTTCCATACTAATAAGAGCGTGAACAAACAAGCCAATGGAAAGGGGAGAGGTTAGTAAGCACAATCATCAAAAGGCTGCATATCAATAAAGGTGATGACCGGAAGAGAGAAATAAGAGTTTAAAGGGTATGAAATTTGTTCGACTAACCCTTCATCCCTTTTTGTGAACCACCAATCAAAGAAATAGTTTTTCAAACGTCTAATGAAGAGTCACTTTTATCAAATGTAATTTTTCAAATCTGGTGATAATTTGATTTTTCGACCACAGTCATGTTATCTTGTACATCTACGTCGAACAGCTAGGGGTATTCTATTTAGTGGGATCTTTCAAAAATGCTTCAGAAATGTTTGACGAATTTCACATTGAAAAGTCTAACATTATAAAAACATTCTTTTAGAATTAAAATTATCATACTCGGAATTTATTATTACCTATGTTTTCGAAAACAATGTCCTTTGTGCTATTCGAAGAGACTCAATGAACCCAAATCCTGTAGACTGCTGACATCTCTGATATTAAGAGTTAGATGTGACTAGGTGTTACTGAATATTAATTAGAACATGTGGAACTTATTAGGCGGAAATGATGCAATTATAATTATCAAGAAAGATCTGATTATCTAACTTCATATAAGTCAAATTACCATATATGTCAGATATAACAATACTCAGAATTACGCTTCACAAGCATAAACGTTTAAACAACTTTTAAATTACTTTGAAATCACGAAACGGTCAATGTTAGTCCACCAATGAAAACCTGAAAGTACTGTTTCATCTTAGTATATAACTCCTGAGACGTTCGTATCCACCACCCAGCAAGCAGGAATCAAAACAAGGACCCTTACATTAGTTAGCTTAATTTGTAAACCTAACTGAATTACCGTAATATCTTATAGATGACTTCGCTGCCAAGGCATTAGTAGTTAGTGGTTTCAAACTTCAGCTATGTCACGCTAAACTCGCCAGGATGAATAACACATAGTTTTGCATGCATAGTCAATTAGATATTGGCGCTTTATTCTAATGCTTTGAATTTTTAATCATTTGTCATCACTACCTTCATGTTTTTAATTTAGAGTTCATTTTTCCCGTGCTCCTCAACTGGATAATTATTAATTTATTTACTAACCACTTCGTTTTATCTAGTTACTTTTCTTTTACTTCTCGATTATAATGCAGCCATTTTTGGGACTTAAAAGTATGTACTACTCTTCATTTTCCCACAGACTACGAGATGCTACAGACGTAAGAAGTAAATAAGCAGTATAGACAGTGTATACAGAAAAAATTCATATGTCCTATGATAGCGCAACCTAAACTTCGTCTTATGATATTCCATTCATCTCTAAATATCCTTTCTGTCGGTCGATTTCTGTTTTCTCAAGGTTTAGCTATTCACTACTTAAAATTTCATATCCATATTGCTCTTTGCGTATTCCAACTCCCCTCCTATGAAAATAAAACCCACCATGGAATTCGTCGACTTTATATACAGTTGTTTCACTCTTGATACCAATCAATTATTTTACCTATTAAAAACATCTGCAAGTTTATTTTATACATCACGTTTTGTCGCTAAGTATTCACTCGTAAGTAAGTCTGTAGCCTTTATATTTCCAGTCACTTGAAACTGTCCAACAAAATCCTATTGATTGATGTAAGACATTGGACGATTGGATGCGGAATCAATAGCCTAGAAGTTAAACGTTTACGAGCGAGACCGAAGGTCATAGGTTCGATTCTTGAATGGAAGGATCGTGGATGCGGCTGCTGAGGAGTCCCGATAAAAGGTCGAAAAGGCTGTCAAGTGCTTCCAGGTTTATAAGGGTGATCTCTCTTGGATCAATTTGTGATTTCAACCATTAAATCTCTTATTTTGTTGGAAATCGAGCACACACAGACATCCATCTAAATAAATCATCACCTAGCTGTTCAAAATAAAAAAAGACTGTTATTTCCCTCTTCCGGTACTCAACCTTATTAACGGGCGTCTTTTAACATCTTTGCTTTTGATAGCAACCGTTTCTCCCGTGCTTTTTTGAATAGGTATATCAGCATCTATGAGTCAATTACTAGATTTGGATTCGCTACGTAGATGACCCAAAAATACTAATTAACTGGTTAATAACAAATCCAATGACATTGAATTTGCCAGAAAACAACCAAAAAGTAAAATCCACTTCTGAGACTTCTTTCTGAACATAACAGACACAGGTATACAAGTACCGAAATCATACAAAACAGGTAATAAATTACGACAGTAAGGATACAATCGTACACAGGATGAGTTTTATACACATACTAGACAAAAAAATAAAGCTCACAGTTGCATTCTTGCCACTGAAGAAACTGAAGATGGTCATTTAGTAGCTTTACCAAAAAGGAATTATGACAAAACCTATCAATCATCATGAAGTCTACCCACATGTAAGAAAGATCTGAGAAACCTCTGAAAGGATTTTGAAACACCTTGAAATTAGTTTCGTTATAGTTATTCCATTCCGCCTTTTGCAAACCAAAAGACAGAATAACAAAGTAGAACAAACGCAAAAACAAAAATTGCACTAAGTTTCACAAAGTGAACGCTCTGCTTCATTTACGCATACAATGATACGGAATGGCGAAAAATGACATGATCACTGATATTAATGCACGCTGACAGCTATGGACAAAGATTGGGCTAAATAAACGCTAACGTTTCAGAAGAAGGAAACTCTGAGGTTATCAGAAAAACTTTGGAGACATGAAATTCAAACCAATCTATATTTGTCCTTCCACCAACCTATACGAAAAGGGTAAATCCTCCTCAAATTCAGAGGTCAGCCAAACAAGATGGTGTACAGGAATACTAAAACAAATGAAGACAGCGGGATTTACAAATGAAACCAATATAAAATAGTATCATCATAATAAACTAGTTTAGAACATATGAAATGAATAAAAATCCCACTTCTATCTGAAGTCGATTCCGGTGAAGTTCTCCAGAATGACCATGAAGGACTTCCAATCAAGCCAATTAATCCAGGGAACAGAATGACACCAAAAGCACCCACTTGGACTTTAAATCTGTTAGGATATTCATCAAATATCCTAAAAAATTATTTTTTCGTCCTATACTATCAAGTTCACATACTTTTAAATGTTGTTTCCTGTTGGTTAGTATTCCCGGTAGGCCTAGCTGTATAAATATTCATTGTCTGTAAAGTTTTATGCTCCTCTTCTTCTTCTGTGCAAAACCTCAGGTTTTCTCGGTGCTTGTAGAATACACTTTCTACGCCCTTTCAAGACTTTTTGATACGATTAGCGAGGGCTTCGGACGCTCGGATTAGAGTAGCCTATCGTGTTAACGGATCATTTGTCTTAGCTCTCGTTTACCGACTAAGGTGAGCTCGTAATAAATCAGGCATATCAACAGACGAGCATAACAACATCTTTATTCTAATCTTAGAACCTAGTTTGTATGACAAGAAATCATTTACTCAAGACATCCTAGTAGAATCGAAGTCACCATTTAGATCTGTTATTTCATGGAAATACAAGCCGTTTATTATATTCTGATCTAGTCCAGAGTTTCATTCACTTTTGATCATGATCATGAATCAATTATTCGGTTCGAAATAGGCTTATCAACATCAGTTCTTAACTGTATATTCAAATTAGATGCAAGCAACAAAAATTCACCTCTACCAATTAAAATATGTGCTTTCGATCACGCTAGTTGGTATTTCGTAAACTCAGTTTGTGTTAAAAAAATTTTAGAGACATTTAAAATATTCAATTACCCCAGTAATGTTCTTCCGTCATTATAAACTTTTGCCGCCTAGCTTGATGTTTAGCCGTATCATAACACTGCAAAACTTCGATAACAAGCTCTGGATTCTGCTCGCGCTCTTGAAATGAAATATTAGCAGCGTGCAGCCATTCCAACCACTCCTCAGGCATTCCCTGAAAGAAAAAATTATTTAATGGGTTTATCAGAAAATTGAAACTAATATGAGAAGTGGGAAAAATCTAAGCTACAATTTGAAAAAAATGTTGACACTATTTAAGTCAAATAACTAGACGGAACATGTGTACTGGATTCCACTGCTAGCCACTAGTCACCTCTGCTAATAATGTTTGTAGCCTGAAAGCATTATTAAGACAATACGCATAGGATGCGCATATTCCAAACAGACTGATCAGTTATAGTTCTAAACATCAATTGTAAAGTTTAAATAACCAATGCTGTCTGATAGCGTTTCGAAGGGCATTTGGGAACTTAAAAGTTATTACGTACATTCGAAGCGGTACAGTAAAATTAAGAAAAGTGAATTTCTTATATTTTCAGAAACAAATAACGAACCATTTCTCTGTTTTGCAGATACTACCTTTCTATTCACTGTGTGGGAACATTTTACCCCACTAAATTTGAGCGTGCCGAGGTTAAAGGATAGAAATCTATTTCATTTGGTTAAGGTCCTCACTAGAGAAGAACAATCGTTTTGGCTTCCTTGAAAACCAGCGAACAAAGAATAGATACCTTCCCAAATATAAAAAAAAGGTCTAACTCACAAGTTAGTGCCTAGCCTCCAGATCACTGGGTCAAAATGCAGCAGTTCCAATAACTAATCACTCTGTCAAATAATTTAATGATTATCATTTCTGAACTCAACTAGTCACAAATCCTCACTGAAATCATGCTAATTCAGAGGGTTAAACAGTCATAAGATAAAACTGACATGTGCTTTATCGATAGTTAGAATTGTCTAAAGAATTAGTTAAAAAATAACAAGCTTCAGAACGATTTTTTCACGAAATGCACTGCCTGAAAGTTTGGTAAAACTAACTCGGCTTAAACTCAGCAAAAGTTCTCAGAGTTTTAAGGTCAATAATAGAAACTCTCATCACTAGGGTACGGCCAATCAAACTTGTTCAATTCCTCCACCTAGAAATTATCTATGACTGCTGTTTGCTAACTAACCAAAACAGCAGTCTTGTGTGTTCTGAATTTTCGTTAATATTTTAGAATACCTTATTAGAAGATAACATGGGAATAACAGTTGTACTGCAAAATTTCAATCGGACCTATCGATTATAAGTACAAAATGATAAGAATCAACAGATACACTAATAAAAATATAAGGGAAATGTTTCTCTTTTTTTAAACTTACTCTGAATTCTCCTGTATTCTCATCATAGACCACGTGTAATTCATGGCTTACACATAATGGAGAAGAAATTTTCGGATCACTAGTCAGTTTGGGTAATCTGAATAATCTAACTGCAATGAAGTGAAATTGGTTTACTTAAATGTGTGTTCAGAAATCGGAAAACTTGAATAACAACCAAAAATGTAAGTAGTGGTATTTAAATCGTCATCTTTACATGTCTAAATAAGAAGTTAGGTGGAATTTAAGTAATGAAGGACATTTTATCATATCTCCGTTCATATAACACATTCAACAGTGAGAACTAACTGTGGCTCATAAAATAATTTATTCAACTTAAATAATCATTTTAGTCAGCGTAAAGGCATGCATATAAAAGTAGTTTATATAAGATGGTCGTAAAATGATGATGTTATTGAGCTTTGAATTTTGGTGTGGCGCCTAGTTTTAAATCTTTAATCCTATAATAAAAACCATAAGAGTTAATCTGCAGACCACATTTCAGCATTTAAAGCACATAAATGAGAGCGTAAGGCTCCTTACAATAACAAATAGCTTACTGCAGATGAGATCGTTATACGAACAACCTGTGGACTCTCTTAAAAACGCTTTACAGCTCTTGTATTTTGTAAGCTGATTCCGTTTCATTAGCAGTAATAAATTACCCTTGAAATCCAAAATTTAATTCAACAACAAAAAACATATTTCCAACTGGACGCAGCTATGCTTCATTACTGTCATCATCAAAGATTTCACATTTCCTGACTCTTTAAATTAAATTTGTGGTCATATCTGGCATCAAGATTATGGTTTGATATAGGATGAGCAAAAAGAACTAAGTCGAAATCGATAAGACCAAATTTCAGAGACAATACACATGAGTATAAAACTAAATGGCATAGTTTGGGGTTAAAACATTACCAGGATTTCAAATAATAACAATAACCAAAAAGCAGAACGCAACATGAGTTACAAATCTATTCTGACAGCCTCAATTGACGTGAAATTATAAACTAAATGGTGAGTTGTTTACAAACATTCAACCGGTAGGAAAAATTATACACAGCCTGTGGTTTCTCTTTTCTCAGCTAAAACACCTGCACACATAGCTTTTAACAATCTACTACAGTTTCATTTGGCATTTTGAAATGTTATCTATATAATTTTTGTTTTGGTGCAAGAAATTTCACAGATAGTTATGTTTCTGTTTTTCTAGACCTACAACTTCTGTGCTAAAAGTAAAAGGATTTAGGAAGCTGCACTCAAGCATTATTTAACAAAAACAAGCTAGATGTTGTTAGGTGAAAACTACGATTAAAAAATCGAAAACAAAATGGTATGAAATTACTTCTGCTTCTTCCAGTTTTCTTCGGCAAATCTGGAAGTGGTTTTTTAGGTGCGATCTTTATAGGATGTCGGTGCCTGAAATTATCAAATACAAATACGTTGAAGTTTACTTACATTGTGCTGGAAGATCGAACTGGTGGTTCCGGTGGCGTGCAGCTATGAGATGGGCTTAAATTCTGTGTATGATATAAACATGAAAATTTGGATTACATACCACGTCCATAATAATTTCTTACTACATAGGGATTTCCTTCTAATCTTGAGTTTGCAGCAATAATTGATTTTATAATCTGTAAAAATAAACGTGAGTTTGACAAAAATCTTTGCATTTTAATAAATACTAACTGTTGACATACTTAGATTGAGTAAAAATCTTGTTTACCAAGCCAAGTTTTCAATAAAAGAGCTTAAAACTAATTTGCACTATCACGAAATCACAATCGAACTCCTTTAACACAGTAAGCATTATAGATTAAACCGGAGTTATTCATTATTTGCTCAACGGGAAAGTCACAGTCTACTATGCTATCTCACTGCAATGCAGTTGGGACTCAGAATTCTCAATGCTATCATATTTTTACCAATACTTTGAGAGCCATCTTCAATTACTCTTTAAGAGTTTTTGTTGTAAAATGTAGATAGTAATCGAAGGGGTTTTCTCAAAGGTTATAACATGAACATAACATGATAAACTTTTGTCACAATTGCTCGAATTTGTTACAAGCAAACATAACCGACAGAAAACAAATTGGATGCTTAGGCCTAATTTGATGTTTGTATACAAAGGTGATTTTCATGTTCATTATTATTACGCGTCCGATTCAAATTTCCGATACAATATTTTAGATTTTGCTCACTGAGTTGTTTTTGGCTTCGAAACTGGTTTTTTACCTGACTACTACATTAGTGCAAAAAACACGGGTATTCTGAAGATTATATCAAAACTAAATATGAATAGATAGAGAAATTTCAGTTTAGATTTTCAAAACACGTTCATTCTAATTAAACTAAACACTGAGTAGCTCTAAAATGTGCTAAAACAGCACACCGGAAAAGATTCAGATGAAATGCTAACACTGATGTACTTAGCTCTAACATTAGCGCAATGAAGGCTAATAACATATTAATGGAATTCATTTTGAAGTACAAAATATCAATATTGAGCACAATTTTTACCTCAAACAATCATAAACAAACAAAAATCTAGAACTACGTGCATTATACATTCTATAAATCGGTGTAAAGTTAGATTACTACACTTCATCAGAAATGTATAGTTATATGGCCAGTTTCAAACACTAACATCATACGAAAGGGCTTTTGGTTAGTTGACTTTCTGTAGTTACTTGAACCCATTTATTCAGATGGTTTTGGTAACACAAAAGAAACTTGCTCAGTTTTCTGGCATATATTTTTGAACACCAAGAAACTCAAGAATTGTAGATAACAGCATCAATCAAAGAATGGCAACAAAAAAGGGAAATCAATTGAATGATATGTGACAAAAAATAAAGACTAATAAATATTTCACCTTAAAAAACATAGTGTGCACAAATGCCAGTGTTTTTTGTCATATCTTGACATCGCATATCTTCAAATACTGATTTTTACCTTACATATCCTATATCGAATTAGCATATCTACATATTTTTGTCATATTCTTAGTGTGTTTGCATCTGGCCAGATTCCAGGCTAGAACAGTTGAAACTGTAGTATAACGTCAGTTCAGAGCGGTGCTACAACCGGAGAAGCATATTCAAAATGAATTTATTATCGTGTTCATTCTGCTTACCAATCCAAATATAAAGGACGAACATTATTTATAAAAATCTTATCAATGTACTGGACAGTTCGTAACTATGTTACGTAGATTGGTGGCCTGATGGGTGATAGGTTTACTTTCAGCTATCAAGCCCCTGGTATAAACACATCCCCTTCTAATACGCTTAGGTAACCAGGTAATATCAGAAGTTCTAATATTTAAATTGTGATTTACACTAAACAGATTGGTGAATGAGTTAGCTCAAATTTAAAAACTGACATTGGTCAACTTGCAAATGAATATCCAAATGACATTCACAGATAGTGTCTGTTACACGTATGTACAGATAAATGTTATTTGCTGCCCCCAATTTCACCACAAAATAAATTTGTAGGGAGTAATGACTGTTGAATAGAAAAACATGCAGTTAAAATCAAGACCAAGATATTTATCAGAACCCTTTATATAGGCAGACTTATAGTATTACTGAAGCAAGATCTTATATATCTTGTTAGGTAACAGTTTGATGTCAATGAATATTAGATTTAACTGACCGACATCCATCATAAAGTGTGGTTTTTAGCAAAGCCGAGTAGCCCTTTGCAGCTGAAAAATAAGAAGACAATGCCACTTGGGTAGACCTTCATCTGATCATTCTCATAGTCCATTTATCTGGACAATCACAGGAGGATCTTTGTATCTTAGCTTACTTCTGTTTATTTACTGACAAACACTTTCATACACTTTTCAAACGATGGCAACAACGTGCAGATAAGAAAGTTGTCTATTTATTGACTCATTTTCGCATTAGTGAGTAGATGCGAACTAGTTAAACAGGAGTCGCTTTAAGAGTACTAAAAGTACTAAATCCAGATTTATTCTTTTCATTTGACGAGAAACTTTAAGTGCTTTGCATATGATAAATTAGCGAATACCTGGAACAGTGCCAAAAGAACAATAATCAAGCGCAAAAAGATCAATTGGCTTATGCTTGTCCATGAAAAAGATATTGTATGTTGTAAGACATACTGTTCAGTTTATTTAAACTGGAATAAACTCGTGGGACAGCCATTTATAGGAAGCACCCATAAATTGAGATAAGCAATGGATATACAATATGAAAGTCCTTAGAAATATAACTTATTTGTAATTTCTGTATAGCACAAAGATACCGAGAATTTTTATGGTTCCAAGAATAACATAAAAACACTAATAGGTGATAGAACTTCAAAGCGTTTTATTAAAGTTTTCAGCTGTATGTATTTATTTCTGATGCCAAAAAAATGATTCTGAGACATGAATTTTGCTGTGCACCGGGACCATCTAATTTTAATTGCTTATTTCAAAGGTGTAAGGGTTTATAAATTTACACAAACTTTCCTTGAATTTTTGTACAGTAAACATGAATGAACTCACTCTTTAATCAGATTTGCAGCATAAATTAAAAAATGGATCTGCATAATTTAGTAAACAGACAAAAACAAAAAAATAAGAGGATAACTGGTGCTGTATTAGCACGCTATCTCATTTTAATTTCAAACTAAGCGCCTCTGCGTTCTATTCAATGTCCAGTAGTGTGCACCAATTGGTTTCCTTGCTCCGGACTCTTGTTTCTTCAGTACGGTTCCAGGTGTTCGCTATTGCAAGTTCAATATCCATGTCCAGTTTTTTAAAGATTCTACCACAATTAAATCGTTAAAAAATTTTGTGTTTACTGTATATGTGAAATGGAGCTTGTCATTCACAAATTGTTGTTGCATTTTTTATTCCGCAAACGATGAAGCGAATATTGTTCTTTGGGGATTAGAGTTCTGCGTATCATTTGTTCCTGTCAACAATGCAATAATAATGATGACAATAACGCTAAAATTTATTCTCAAATAACAATGTATTTCTCGAGACATTCCTACTTACAGGCAACATCAATTTGCTACGAACACTAACATATTCACTGTAATACGTTGCTCAGTTAGATACTTTACAAGATACATTGGTGTTTTCCACAAAAATTGTAAATAATGTTTAAAAGACTAGATGCAAAAGAAAGTTGCCGCGGGTTGTCAGTTCCATTGCAACAAACGACTGGATTCAAGTTAATTCTAAATGTGAATGACATTCTGATGATAACAATTAAACAGTCTTTGAGGAACAACTGTAAGTATCTGCAGATATATCATTATTATATAAGGCAAAGGATGAAGTAATGTGCCTCATGTGCTTCCGTTAGTATGATGACGTGCCCTTACAATTCGCTCTATAATAAGTTACTCAACGGCATTGTACAATACTCTAGTCGAAGCCCAGATTTGTTCTTTTAAATCACTTTTCACAAAAGGTGTCCCTGTTACTTATGTAGGGAAAACAGAGGAGATTTACAGAAGTACCGCCAATAAAGTCTATTCTGAGTGGTGTGTAATAATGTTTCAAGCCACTGAATTGCATCATCTCTGGCAGCCCAATCAGTCAGTCGTGAAGGAGAATTGTTTTGTCACAGAATGTCAATATTACTTCACAGGAAACCACTATCAAACACATAAAGTCGCTTAAGATTCTCAACTAGAAAAGGTCTCTTTTTACAAACACAGTGCTAGGCTACTCTTATTGATTCGTGTTACCGACATTTTACTGCCTGACTAATATCACGAAGGAGCCTAAGAATACCGTGATTTGCATGAACCGTTCTGGCTTCCACTAATTGCGAATCGACTAACAGTGTAATAACCGAAGGCATCGAGGCCACATGGTATAAATATATCCAGAGAAGACGGTTCATTTACAAAACTGATATGTTCGTCACTAGGTACGCTTGAAGCTATTACGGGTTCACCTTAGTCGATAAACGTGAACGAGATAATTACCAGCGTCCAGATAGGCTACCTTGAATCCCAAGCTGAAGACAGAAGGCTTTGTAAGTGTAGAAAGTATGTTCTACAAACACCCAGCAATCTTAATACAAAAAGCACATTCATCATAGAAACGTCCTTGGGACAGTTACGGAAATAGCACACACATACACAGCAGCCAATCACAACCATGGATTTTCCTGGTGGAGAATGAAATCACAAGGTCAACTGATCAGCCCATGCTCGCAAACGTGAAATCCAAAATAAGGACTTTATCAAGCGAGTTTTGGGGATCAAACATCCCCAACAAAAATATTTACGACTCTCTTCGAGTGTCCTACCAGTCTTATTAAAGTATATTACACTCAGTGCAAAGTATTTGAATTATTACACAGTAAGACGATATCATCTGCAAACTGAGGTTCGAAGAGTATTTTTCCAAGTAATGTCGTCGTTACCTGCGTCCATCAGAGCTATTTCCAGAACGTCACTGATGACGAAAATGAAGAGGAATGGTGATACTGAGTAACCGTACTCAACCCCGCAGTCTCAGTGTAACAACTGTTCGTATGCCTTCACTCTCCCTCAAACGCTTGCGTGTAAGGCCTTTGGAGTGTTGACAAACTTCCTAGGTACACCGGTCAACAGACATTCCCAGAGAATAGTTCTGTCCAACGAATCAAATGCTGCCCTGTTTGCCTGAGGTAAGTGTGGAGGTGTTCTAACATTTGGAAGACGGTGAATATGCGGTCAGTACATTCTCGACCAGAATAAAAACCGGTCTGTTTCTGGCGAATCAGTACTTCCAAGGGTTTTGATCAGTTTTTATAGTATAAAGAAACCAGCAGTTTGAATTCTAGTAAATGTATACTAGTTTCTTGATAGTTGTTGCATAATTGATGTGAAGGTTGACTGATTTAAGTATGTCAGAACACTTTGACTGCTCAGCGGTTGTACATAAGTCAGTCAGTCACCTAGTCTTAAGGTTGCCACCATCTATAGTAGGGGCCAGAGGTAAGACATCTGGGTCCGACAACTTGTAGCACTTTAAGAATTGGAGTTCCTTCGGGACTTTTGCCTCGTTAATTGGACCGATCGGCCAGGGCAGTTCAATCGGTGTAACATTACCAGGAGTCTGCCATTCTAGTTTATCATTCTAGCACTTTGATCTGTCGAAACCGAAATTCCTTAAAGTTATAGATTGCTCTAGGCCGTTTGCCTTTTATTGTTACGGGAAGACGACCTCTCTTCCGACTTCAGCTTCAGTGACATGTTAGGAATTATAACATCTAACAAACAGTCAACATGATGAAAGCTCATCAGTGTTAAAGAAACCCTCAAATCAGCACTTTCTGATAGAAACGCTAAGTTCTCAGAATTGCTTTAGGACTAAAATGTGCACGAAGATTAGCACATAGCGTAGATCAACTGTTAGTTATTTTTATAACTAATTGTAGCTTTGTCATAACTAACCAATCAGATCGGTTAAGCGCTCACCACGTCATCTAGTCTGACCGGTCTATAAACTTTCTTTGTTGTGAACGGCCTATCGATCGAAGGATGTTATTATTTTATTTTATATAGATGTGACTCATGTTTTTTATTCATTTTCTAAAGACACGCTATACTGTCCGGTACGTTTGCTCATCCTGCTTGATAATTGTAATTTCCTTATTTATTGTACTAATTTAATCGTTTTCTTTTTGTTTAGAAACAGATAAAGTTTAAAACCAAATTGTCTTCTGTTAACTATAGTTTCACTCTGGATTCTGTCAGCGGCGGTATATGCGTTTACGTTTTAGAATTACATCTGTAGGACGAAATTAAATCCTACTTAGTTTCGGAGAGTACTCATTAGAAGTTCATATATCGAATACCTTCAAATGTCTACGGAGGATCATAAAACTGATCAGATTCCTGAATTGTCTCCACACTACTCAGAAACTCATTGTGAAGACCAGTCTAGAAGAAATAGCCTCCGAATGGATCCTTTGTTAGAATTAGAATTAGCTAAAGTACGTTTAGCTCATATAGAAAAGGAAATTGAGTTAGAACAGCTACGGCAAAAAGGAAAAGACTATTGTAACCAAATTCAGGATGAAAAGTTTATGTCGTTTGACTCTGCATCCGTTTCGCGTACAGCTGATAACGCAGGAAAGGGCTGGGTAGGAATGATATCTAAAGCTTTAGACCTACCCAAGCGAGAAATCATAAGGTTCGATGGTCATCCTATGAACTACTGGAGTTTCATACGAAATTTCGAGGATTGTTTTGATGAAAGCGTCGGACCTCGATCTAAGTTAAACTTCTTGATTCAATATTGTGATGGTGAAGCTAAGGCTACCATTGTTCATTGTACATTGCTTCAACCGGAAGAAGGTTATCGTAAAGCGTTAGAGCTTTTTGAGGAAGAATTCGGTCAGAAACACGTAGTCTTCCCTGCTATTAAGGAGATCGACTCAAATAGTTTAAGAAGGCTAGCTCGAGAGATGTATATCTGTGAGCTTACGCTCACACAAATGAACTACCTGTCCGATCTTAATTCTACGAAAACCATCGAAAGCATGTTATTAAAACTTCCACCACACCTACAGAGGGAATGGGTTAAAATAGCATGTCGAATTCTTAAGACGGGTAGAGAGCCTTTATTCAATGACCTCTGTGAATTTGTTAAAGAACAGTCAGATATAGCTAACACTAGATACGGCCTGCTTGTCAACCGCAGCGATGATGTCGACAAAAGAGGTTTTGATGCTTTAAAAGGGAAAGCTGCCGCAAGTTACAACATAGCAACGGTAGCACATGCAAACAGTAATGACAGCAATACTTCCTTACATAATCCACCTTGTCCAGATTGCTGAAGCAATCACCTCTTAGATCAATGCCAGAATTTTAAAAACAAGAATGTTAAAGAAAGGAAAGCATTCGTCTTTAAGCATAAGTTATGTAATAATTGTCTGAAAGCGAACCATATAGCAAAGAATTGTCGATCGCCGAGGTCGTGTATTGTTGAAGGATGTGGCTGGAGACATCATGCTCTGTTACATGAGAAGCGGGAAGAACGAAGAGATACTATTAGTGATGCCTGCAATAATTCTCAGATTTGTACAGAGGAAGATCTTAAGGGCATACAGAGACTTTTCATCATCCGTTAAGATCCAGAAGGTATTGACAGTCAAAAAACTCCTGGCAGTTCACAGAACTGTACCAACGGCGCGTCAAATGGCATCCTGGTCCTATTTAAAGGACGTAAGTTTCCCGAGAGTAGAAGATGAGGATGTTAAACTTTGGGATGGTGGCGAAAACTTGTAGCTCAGGTGGATGATTGTCGTGGTGTTTCGTTGTCTGAGCTGGTTGTTTTGGTTTTGGAGCTTTCAATGTTCTTCTGAGCAACATCATCAGCACAAACGTCAGATAGAAGTGAAGCATTCGAATTTCTCAACGTTTGACCTGTAGCTTGTTCTGCTAACCTCGATCTTGATTGGTTGATGTTGACCTTTGACCTGTCGTTGTTTGCAACTATGTTTTGATTGCCTCCCTCTTTTGATCTGTTTCTTGATCCCGTGTCACCTATGATTTTCCTGATTGGTTGATAAATTGGATCAATGTCGATGTGTTTGTTGATAGCTAACTGACCAGAGTGCCAAGCTTCTAAAAATTCTCTAGTGTTCTTTGTCCCCCCGTTACCCAGTATTTCCACGTTGTTCCAATCAAATGTGTGTCCATAATTGTCGGTGTGTATTGATATAAGCGAAGCCTTGTCGTGGCGTTTGACTGTTAATTGATGTTCACGTAAACGGAGCTGAAGGGGTCATCCACTTTGTCCAATGTAGTGTTTTTCACAGTTTGAGCAATTTATTTTGTAGATGATATTTAGTTATTCTTCCTTTGTCATTTTTTCCTTTGGTCTACATAGGATTGACTGAAGTGATTCTGTTGGTTTGTGTGTCACACCTATTCCAAATGGTTTCAGTAGTCGCGCCGTATGCTCCGATGTCTTTGATGAATGGCAGGATAATGCGTTTATTTGTTCCTGTGCTTGATTTCACTTCTGATGATGGTTTTGGTTGATGTTTTTTGATGAAGTTGCGTGGATAGCCGTTCTTTTGGAGGATAGTCATCAGGTGTTTTTCCTCGTTTTTTAATGTTCCGTGTGTGCTGCAGTGTGTCTTTGCTCTCTTGAACAGAGTTTGTATGCAGTTAATCTTGTGGGTTCTTGGGTTGTTGCTGTCGTAGTTGAGAATTACGTCGGTGTGGGTTGGCTTCCGAAATACTTGAGTTTCTAGTTTTCCGGTGTTAGTTCTGGTGATTAGTACATCCAGGAATGATAGGCTGTTGTTTGATTCCTTTTCCATCGTGAATTTGATGTCATCAAAGACGTTGTTGATCTGATTGTAGATGTTCTCCAGCTCATTCCTTTTGATAATTACGAATGTGTCGTCTACATAGCGAACCCACATTTTTGGCTTGATCACTGGCAGAATCGACGCTTCCAGTCTCTGCATTACCGCTTCGGCGATGAGTCCTAATATTCGTGATCCCATTGGTGTTCCTTTTATTTGTTCTTAGACTCTGTTGTTGAATTGAAGATACGTTGTTAAGCATAGGTCGATGAGTTCAAGCAAACTTTGACTCTGAAGCTTTGTATATTTGTGTAGATTTGTGTCGTCGGTGAGGAGTAGAGAGAGAGTTTCTTTAGCTAAGCTTGGCTCTATTGAGGTAAATAAGGCTGTTACATCGAAGGATATCATCATTTCGTCGTTGTCAATTTGAATCCTCTTGAGTTTATCCAAGAATTCTGTGGCAGACTTAATGGAGTAGTTGGATTCATCCACCAGATGTTTTAATATCCTTGAGATTTCTCTTGATAAGTTGTAGGTCGGGGTTCCGGGAAGGGATACAATAGGACGTAGTGGGATGTTAGGTTTGTGTAGTTTTGGCCTACCGTAGAATTGTGGAATTGTTGGTCCATTGGATTTCATTCTCCATTGATCTTGTTTTGATATTTGTCCTGTTTTGACAAGCCTATTTAGAGTCCTTGAGATTTGATTGTCCAACTTTGTTATAGGGTTTTTGTCGACTGGTTTATATACGCTTCTGCCCTGAAGTAGATCCTCGGCTTTCTTGATATATTCCTCCTTGTCCATGATGAATGTTGTGCGTCCTTTGTCCGCTGGAACTATGACTATATCTTCTCTGGTTTTGAGTTTCTTTAGAGCTTTTAGTTGTTGTGCTGTTAGTTGGTTGTTGTCTGTCTTCGTCGAGTTAAACTGTTGATCGAGTGTAATGCACCGAGAGTACACGAGACGAATGAGATGAGAACTGGAAAGATAGATGAGCCGTCTGCCGTGAGGACTTTATTGGTTTGGACGTTGTTCGGTCCTTACGGGGAATTCATTGATAACAACCGTGCACTTAATCACCTCTCGGCTAAGGAGGAACTGGAAGATAAGTTTGAGCAGTTGTACACAACTGAATCCAAAGACCCGTTTATGTCTATGGAAGATCGTAGAGCATTCAACGCTATATCAAACACAGTGCAAAGGTTAAATGAACGTGATGAAATTGCGATAAACCTGAATGGAATAAACCTTCCTCAGACTAAATCGACAGATCAGGATTTTTCTAGTTCTCTTTCTAATCATCCTGCTTCTCTCACAGAAGCTTATGTTGCATCACTCGAAGCTTCAAATGAATTAGCTAAGTCACCTACCGTTCTATTAAGTTTTGCTATAGCTAAGAAAGACATTCCATTTGATTGTGTTCTCGAATCAAATACTTCATCAAGCGTTGTGAATGCTGATGTGTCGAAAGATGCTTCGGTTAATTTATGGACATCATCATCTACAAGTCATGATTCTGCTTCGTGTCCTTTTACTACATTGGCTAAAGTTGTTACAGCTTCTCAGACAGAATGTAAGGATTCGAAAAATCTATAAGATCCTGCTAAGGAAGTAGTTGAAGATAAACGGAAAGAAACGTTAACTTTAGCGGAAGTCGACCTAGTTGTAGGTGAAAGAGAAATGCCAATTATTCGACAGCATTGCCGAGCTCATAATTCCGATACTAAAAAACAGAGGTGTAATAATCTTGGACCTTTTCATTTCCAGTTAAATGATATACACAACAACGGTGCTGAAAAGAATAACGAATCTCTCTGCAGGTCACGGATAGTAGTACGTTTAGTGCATGAAGGCAGACTGTTGATTAATACTCTCAGTTGGTTACAAATGCCTCCTGCTCTAGTTGACTCACGAACTTTGGGAATGGGTGCAATTAATGAGGTGGGGAGTTATGTAATGGCTACATGGTGCAACGACTTCCATTGTCTTGCTGAGGTTCTAGCCCATCGTCAGCGACATGGTACAAGAGCAGAGTATCGCCTACGTTTTATTTGGGATCGCGTTGTAGAATGGACACCCGTCAGCAAGTTACGCAAAGCAACTCAGTACGAAATCGATTATGTCTTAAAATTCTGTAAAGAGCAAGGTAAACTATCCACAAATAAAATCCCTAATAAATTTAATCTGCAGTATTCATGTAGTAGTAGCAATGATTCGGCATCGGGAACATCTCAAGCTAAAAGAATAAGGACAGATGTGTCGGAAAGCAAGTCATTAGACCGCACTTCGGATCCTGAAACACATCGCTATCGGTCACGTCCTACTCGTGTAAGTACAAGTGGTTTCTCTGTCGTAGAAGACAAAAAGACACTTCTTTCAACATTATTTGATGGAATCATCGAACAGAATGGGATGGTTTGTGATAAGAGTGTTTTCCAGTTTCACGAAGCCTGTAGAAGACGTCGTGAATTGAAAAGAAAAGCTATCGAAGGGGACGGCACATGTCCATATAGATTCGACAGTTCTGTGTCTGTTTTGAGTCAAACATTCACTATTAGGTCAAACCATCAGAACAGACGTGGTCTTAATTCACAATATAATTCTATAAGAACCGAAAATTATGCAGCGGAAGCTACAGTAGCCTCTCCACAGGTATCATCGAATTCATTTTGCCAGAAAAGTGATAAAATAAAGGGAATTATTACACTATGCGGATCCAACGAGATGTGTAAAGGAACGCTGGGAGTAGAGCAGAATATCCGAGCGGATGAATCATTCCTCAGAGTTCACGAGTTTCCCTGGAAACCTAACCAGAGGGAATATTTTGTCGTTTATAGCATTAATCTTTGATCCCGGAGGCCGTATATGGAAACATATTATAAAGTCAACGAGAAGGAAGCCACAACATGGAGACTCACCGTTAGTAAACAATACTAGTTTGCTGAGAAATCTTTGGGTGAAAGCTATAGTTAGAGAAGTCAGTTATAGTCCCGATGGCCGAGTCAGAACGATTTGATTGAAGAGACACCGTAGAGATCAACCAAGATATACGAAACCTATGCCTACTGGAAGAGGTCGATTATTCGAGCGCGACGGCAACGATGTCTGGACGTGGTGACCGCTTCGGGGGGAGTGTTAGTTATTTTTATAACTAATTGTAGCTTTGTCATAACTAACCAATCAGATTGGTTAAGCGCTCACCACGTCATCTAGTCTGACCGGTCTATAAACTTTCTTTGTTGTGAACGGCCTATCGATCGAAGGATGTTATTATTTTATTTTATATAGATGTGACTCATGTTTTTTATTCATTTTCTAAAGACACGCTATACTGTCCGGTACGTTTGCTCATCCTGCTTGATAATTGTAATTTCCTTATTTATTGTACTAATTTAATCGTTTTCTTTTTGTTTAGAAACAGATAAAGTTTAAAACCAAATTGTCTTCTGTTAACTATAGTTTCACTCTGGATTCTGTCAGCGGCGGTATATGCGTTTACGTTTTAGAATTACATCTGT